CCCTCTGTTGGTCAGTTTCTAGTTGTTGGAGATCCTGTGTTAATTTTGGTTCTTTCTTCTTTTTGGATGTGTGCATTTATTGCAATAAATTGTCCTTTCAGCACCGCTATCACCATGTCCCAAAGTTCTTGGTATGTTGTATTTTCATTCTCGTTTGTTTCTGGGAACTTTATGATTTCACATTTAATTTTTTCTTTTACCCAGTCGCTTTTCAGTAGGGTGTTGTTTAGTTTCCATGTATTCGACTTCAATTCCTTAGTCTTCTTGTTGTTGATTTCTCGTTTTATAGTATGGTGGTGCGAAAAGATGCTCTGTAATGTTTTGATGTTTGTAAATTTATGGAGACTTGTTTTGTGTCCTAACACATGGTCAATTCTTGAGAATGTTCCATGTGCACTGGAGAAGAAAGTATATTGTGTTGTTGGGTTGAATGCTCTGTACACATCTATGAGGTCAAGTTGGTTGATTGTGCTGTTTAATTCCTCTGTAACTTTGTCGAGTTTCTTACTGGTTGTTCTGTCCGTTTTTGAAAGTGGTGTATTCAAATCTCCCACTATAATTTAGGTTTATCTATTTCTTACTTTAGTTCTAGGAAGGTTTGTTTCATATATCTTGGTGCTTTTTCATTGGGGTGTAGATGTTTATTATGGTTATGTAGTCTTGCTCAATTGACCCTTTGATCATGAGATAGTGTCCTTTATCTCTTATGCTCGTTTTTGTTTTTAAAGTTTACTTTATCAGAGATTAGAATTGCCATTCCTTCTTATTTTAAGTTAGCTTGGTATATTTTTTTCCCATCCTTTAACTTTTAGTCCGTTTTTGTCTTTGAGTGTAAGGTGTGTCTCTTGCAGGCAGCATATTGAAGGATCCTGTTTTCTTATCCAATCTGCCACTCTCTGTCTCTTCAGTGGTGTAGTCAATCCATTGACATCCAGTGTAATTATCAATAGGTATGATTTAAGGAGCTCTGGTACTGTAGTGGTTACAAATCAGGGTGCGAACCACAAGGTCAACCGTTCGAAACTGCCAGCTGTTCCGTGGGAGAAAGATGAGGCTTTCTGCTCCCTTTAAGATTTACAGCCTCAGAAACCCTGTACAGGGTCGCTATGAATCGGAACCGACTCCATGGCACGGAGCCACCACATGTATTAATTGCTGCTATTAATTTTTTGCTAGTACTGTTCGTTCCTTTGTTCTGCATGCCGCCTTATGCTGAGTTTGTGGCTTTTGTGCTATTTTATGTCGGTTTCTTCTTAGTTTTCATGTATGTTTGTTCTGCTTAGAAGTTCATTTTCATGGTAAGTTGTGAAGTATTAACTTTCTTTGGGGTTATCTAACAGTCTATTAACTTTTATCTTCAATTAAGACAATCTGTTGTAACCTGTAATCTACCTGACAACCTCACCATCTGGATCTTTGTTCCTATATTTATCCCTTCTTTGACAGTGATATTATTTTGACCTTCGGATGACCTCCCAGCTCCTTTGAATTCGTTGTAATTTTGTTCTGTTCTGAACTCTGCTGTCAACTGAGTTCCAGGTGGTGTTGCCACACCTGTCAGTCTCTGGTTGTTATCTGCTCTTGTTGGTTTTTAGTCCATACAACTCCCTTTAGGATGTTTTGAAGTGCTGGATAGGTTTTGATAAAATCTCTCAGATTCTGTTTATCCTGGAATGTTTTGATTGTACATCGTATTTGATTGATAGTTTTGCTGGATAGACGTTTCTTGGTTGTTTTTTTGTTTGTTTGTTTGTTTTCTTTCAGGGTTTTGAATATGTCTTCCCATTGCCTTCTTGCCTGCATGGTTTGTGCTGAATAGTCAGAGCTCAATCTGCTTTGCTTGCCTTTGTAAGAGACACTTATCTTCTCCCTGGCCGCTTTTAGGAGTCTCTCCTTGTCTTTGATTTAGGAGAGCTTGATTATTATATGTCTTGTTGACTTTCTTTTGGGGTCTGTCCTTCCTGGGGTATGTTCGGTTTCTTGAATGTTTATGTTCTCATTTTTCAAGATGTTAGGGAAATTTTCTTTCAGAAGCTCTTCAACTATCTCTTCTGTGGACTTCTCTGGTCTTCCTGTTCCGGAATGCTTAAGTTGTTCCTGTTCTGGAGTTCTTACATTGTTTTTCTTCATGTTATCCAGCATGAATCGTAGACTCTCTTCAGATTTTTTTATCCTTTTTCTGCTTGCTCTTCTATCTTAGTCCTATAGATTTGTTTTCCAGCTCTTTAGTTCTGGCTTCCATCTCTTCTATTCTGCACCTTTCCCATTTCAGTGTATTGTCTGTTTCTGATATTTTATTATTAATCATCTGGACCTCTTTTTGCAGGTTTTGAATTGTTTCCAATGCTGTATCAATCTTGTTTGATTGCTCTTGTAGTAATATCCTGACTTCTTCCTTGTTTTCCTCCTCCCCTTTTCAGAGCATTTAAATTTGTTTCCATATAATTCTTCTGAATTCCTTCTCAGGCAAATTCAAAATCTGCTCTTCCTCTTTGGGGGAGCCTTTGTCTGCCTTCAGCGCATTTGTCTCAGTTACACTTTTCTGTTTTTGGACATGTTTTTGAGAGCAGTTGTTTTTTGAGATCTTTTGTTTGTCATTTCCAATAATTATGTGGGCTTTTTAATGCTTAAATGGATGTTTGTTGTTGTGTTATTAAGCTTACTGAGTGTCTCCTGGTGGATATGATCTGGAGATAGGCTTCCCTTTTCCCATGTAATACTTAGCAGCTGGTATTGGCTTTTGTCTCAATGGTGGGATATCATGGGGTATGCTTGTAGCTTGGATATATGGCCATGATTGCTGTCTCTTCCTGGGTAATGTACGGAGAAAAAGCTCTCACCTCCAGGAAAAATGTGTGATCTAAATAAAGGACCAAATGCAGATACAATATAAAAGCAGAGACAAAAACCACCACTTTGAAACAAAAATAAAACTGTGGCCGACTGTCCATTCTCATTGCTACACAGGCAGTGTGTGTGCGCCGTAGAAGCCTGGAGTAGTGTGTGTGGGTGTCCACTTTCTCAGGCCCCTCCTCTAGTCACTACCTCAGATAGATACTGAGAAGTTAATGGGAGAAAGATTGTCTACTATTTTTGTCTCTGAAGGTCAGTTAGGTATCTGTATGTGCACAGCGTAATTCTCAAGATAGTTGTGTCCTTTTATGTTGGGGTTTTACAGATTGTTCTATGGTTTGTCTTTTATGTCTAATACGCCTGAGTAAAAGGGTCCTGTACAAGTAAATTTTAAGGCTGCGACCCCAAGGCTGATGTTATAAGCAGCCACCAAGCTCTTTCTGTAGCGCAGGAAAACTGGGGGGTCAGTGCTGGACTTTTTTTTGGGGGGGTGGGATTGCGCACCCACCAGCCTGAAGGCATCCGGGCAGGGCAAAGAAAGCATGACAGGAAATAGGAAGAAAAAAATGTGCAGCATCCCCTGCACTTCCTTTTGCAAATGTCACTGCATCACTTTTAGCACAGGTTCTCTGTGCGGGTCTGGCTGTAGCCCCGCCCTCTGAATGCCACCCAGGCTGGGTGGCTGCAGAGGGAGTCCCATTTCCAGGGGCTCCTAATTCCCAGTATTTTCCTTTATATTGTAAAATTCTCTGGGTTTTCAATCCCTCCCCCACGGAGCCTTTCCTACCTGTCTCTGCAGGCGCCCAAACCGCAGACATGGAATTTCTTTGGGTTTTTTTTAACAAGGAAAAATAATTAGTATCCCCTCTGCTCTGGTACACACTTATTGATCCTTTTTGCAAATGGCATTTTCATTGTCCTGGGCTATCATGGTCTAAAATTCTAGAAGTTGCATAGTTTGCCTAAAGAACAATCCTAACTATCTCTTTTTTCCTTTTCCTAAGTGAGCTCACCCATGGATGAGGTGCTAGCTTCCTTGAAGCGTGGTAGTTTTCATCTGAAAAAAGTTGAACAGCGAACTCTGCCTCCTTTTCCTGATGAAGATGATAGTAATAATATCTTGGCACAAATAAGGAAAGGGGTAAAATTGAAGAAAGTACAGAAGGAAGGTTTAAGAGAATCCTTCACGCTCCTGCCGGATGCAGACCCTCTAACACGAAGCATCCATGAAGCTCTTAGAAGAATTAAAGAAGCATCCCCCGAGTCAGAAGATGAAGAGGAGGCTCTCCCTTGCACAGACTGGGAAAACTAACAAGTAAATGACCTTATTTTCTTCAGTAGCATTTAAAATATGGCTTTATGTTGAAGGATAGGTTTTGGTTATTTTTGTTGTTCTGTGTGTGTGTTTTGTTGTTGCTGTTAGTCAAAGGCATATTGCTAGTTATGCAGCTTGATTGTATAATATATCATAAATTTATAAACTTCAAGTTTTGCATAGTACTGCAGTTTGCAGAAAAGTAACCCTTTGGGGACCTGTGCAACATACAGTGTCCCCCTACCTTTTCTGCCTTAGGTTTAGTGGGAAGGTGTGATCTGATTTTTAATGCATGCTGCCATCTGATGGGGGCTTGTATAACTGTGAATGTGAATAAATGGGCCTCATCGCTAACCCTTATGACATGAGTTCTACCAATTATATCAGAATCCATATTGCCTCAAAAAGAAACAATTTTTAATTTCATCTAATATGCCTTCTGTTACTGAAAATACACGATTCTAACTACAATTTCAAAGCAGCAAATAGTTCAGTCTAGAGAGGGTTAAGATAACTGAGAAGCACTTTTCAAGGATGGATCATTGTTAGATAAATGCTGTAAATGCTTTATATCTTATTTATTCAACTTGTGAAGTGTGCCTGCATCATAGGTATAAAGTGAAGATCTAATTCTAGCCTTAATGAACAGAAGTGGACTTTTTTTGACTGAATTATTTCAGTCACAACTTGTATAATGCATGTTGAATTTCACCTTCTTATTTACTGCCCACAGAAAGTTTTCTAATACCAGTCAAGAAAAATGTTGTATTTGGTTATTTAGCTTTCTAAACCTTTAAAACTAGTAGTTTATCATAAGTATTATATCATCAAAATAAATTTGCAACTAACATAATAAATATGTAAAACCTTGATAAGATTCTATTGAATATCCCTGTGATTATTATGATCCTTTTTGGTTACACATGTACTAGTTTCCTAAGATAATAGAAGTTGTAATCTACCAGCACTTTAATAGGACAATTGTAGAATAATGTGGCACAAATTTTACTTAATGTTTTTACATGTTGAAATAACACCAGTTCTGATTGTAACCAATTCTGAATACTATTTAATTTATATCATATATCTTGTTATGATCATAACTGAAACGTTACCATTTCAGTGTGCAAAAATGTTGATTATTATGCTCTCTTGATGGAACACAATTTCTATGGGCTTCATAACATTCAACAAAAGAGAAATAACTCTCAGTCCTGGATTAAGTAAGTAAAGGAGTAATTAACGTATATTTAAGAAGCACTGTGATTCTTCAACTTACCTAATCATAAGAATAACCTGGGGAACTTATTAAAAATCTTCCTGGCCCTGACTCAAAAGATTCTGGATGAGTAGGACTGAAGTTAGTTCTGGGTATATTCTATATACCTGCCCAGTAAACGTACATCAGGAAAATGCCGCTGTAGGTTTCCCCTTCCCTGCCCACACACGCTTCCCCCTGGTCCCTTCAACATCTGTCCCAATCAGTAGCTTAACGAAAGGGTGAAAAAATCACCTACCTTTAACATGGTTCCACCAATATTCCACAGTATCCTGGCCTACTACCTTAGGCTGTTTGTATCTCTTCTTCCTGTTTTAAATGTTGTTTTTAAGTGTTATATAGTTAGTTCTGACTCATAGTGACTCTGTATAGGGTTTCCAAGGAACGGCTGGTGGGTTTGAACCATCTACTTTGTGTTTAGCAGTCCAGTGCTAATCCTATAGTGTCCCACCAGGACTCATCCTGTTTTGAACAGAGACCCTAATTATCAATCACTTTAATTAAAAAACCAAAAATTGCTAAGAGATCACTTTGAGTCCTAGAGACCCCTAGGACAGAACAGGGTAGAACTGCCCCCCGGGCTTCCAAGACGGATCCTTAAATCTGTTAAGTGACTCTAAAAGTTCTCTCTAAGCAAAATATCCTGTGAGCCACATAGAACATTTTTGTCCTTCCATTTATGCCTATTTCTATGTCTATTTAGAAGATTTTTTTTTAGAAAAAGAAACAGTAGAGAAAATTGATTTTCATAATACCTTCCTTCAAAATGTAATTCATATTTTAAATAGAAAGCAAAAATAGTTTACTTTTTGGTAATAAATCTGAAATCAGTGTATATGTTATACTTATAATCTCAAATGAGATGCTAAATATTTCCTGATAAAAATGAAAAATTATATCAAAACAATGAGGTTGTATTTAATGAAAAAAAATTTATATTGCATCATATCTATAATTTAAATTAAATTGAATGAATTAGTAGTCTAGTATCTTAGTTATACTGGCCACGTTTCAGGTGCTCACTAGCCCCATGTGGATACAAGCTTAGACACTGCCACACTGTGATAAACTAAATTGCTAACTCAGTTATGTGCATGTCAGTTTTACCAGATAAGTCAGTCTTCCATATCCATTCTCCTTTGCTGTTGATAACAGCGCCCTGGTGATGCAGTAGGTTAAGCACTGGACTGGATATATAACCACAAGGTAGGCAGTCTAAACCCCCCAGCCACTCTGTGGGAGAAAGATGAGGCTCTCTGCTCCTGTAAACATTTACAGCCTAGGAAATCTTATACGAGGTCACTGTGAGTCAGAATCAACTGGGTGACAGTGAGTGGACTGGCCATTGATAAGGTCATTGATCTCACACACAACTACTTTCGAGGGGCAGGGGAACATCCTTGAAAGAGCATCCATTTAAACAAGAGTATTAGTCCTGTGCCTAGGACTGTCCAGACAGAAACACTGTCTCTATTGTCAGTTTTAAAGATATCTCTTAATTATTCTGTGAGTAAGCAAGGCAAATAGCATTTATCCTTTTAGTATGTACCTTTTGACATATAAAATATTAGAGTAAAAACAATAAAGGTGAAAATGTGTTAAAAAGAGTGCTCACCATGTACATGACTAGGTATAAATTGACATAAGAAAATTTTAACTTAGGCACAGAAACAAATCAGCATTCGTTCAGCCTAAATATTGCAGAGTGGAAGGGAACATATATACAAATTATCTGTAATAGGTAATCTTCTTAAACACACCATCTCGTTTTGTTTATTTAACAGGTAACTTAATAAAAAGAAGAAGAATACCTGCAGTTGAAGATCAGTCCTTTGCTCTTTAGAGGAACATTTTGGTCACCTGTTTCCACAATTGGATTCCATTGGACCAGTGAAAATGTATTGGCTCAATGATATGAAAAAAGGAAGCACAACTGACAGATTATACTTTTCCAGTCATTCCAGTAGATCGTGGTTAATATGAATTTTAGATGTGTAGTGTTCCTGGCTGCAGTGAACAAGAGCCTTCTGGAAATTTCTGGGTTTTTAAGCACCTTTTCCCTTCCTCTCCCTCACACCCCACTTACATCCTTGTAGTGGCCAGTTAACCTAGGAGGTTGCTATGAATTGGAAGAACTTGGGTTGACAGATCTACTGTGAGCTGTTTGGGGACTGCTTTGAGATCCATCTTTCAGTGCTTGAAAAATACAGAGCTTCTTCCATATCAGCTTATATAAATGAATGACACTCTGAAAAAAGTTTATCATGATAGCTATAGGACAAGAGTTGAAAGAAAATCAGATGGAAATTCACAAAATTTCCACATTGCTCATCTCCAAAGGAATTTTCATAAATATGTTTTCAACAATATCTGAAAAGATATATAACCACGGAGATACGTCTATTAATGTGTTTACCACAACATGATACATTTGACATGGCATATTTTTAGAAGGCCGCACAGTCTTACACTTTGTAAGGTTTTGAAGTAAAACTTTCCATGCTTTTAAATAGTTCTTCATAATTCTGAATTTATAATAGTTTGAATTTTATGTGTATCTTTGTTTATGAGAAGCAATACTTTGTAATTTGATAATATCTCAAATTATTTTTAGTCCTTTTGTTTGAACTATTACTTGATTACTATAACTCACATGACTTTCCTATTGAGAATCACGTGAAGGTTCCATAATAGGGATGCAGATCTTAAGTCTATTTATCATGCACCATTTCAGTTTTTATTTTGATGCTCCACAGTAAAAAAAAAAAAAAGTATGCTCTACAAAGATACAAAAAGTAGACAGGCAGTCATGCCTCCTTGGCTGACATTTTACTACCTTCAAATGCTTTGAGTAGGATTTTACAAAAGAGTTATTATTGTCACTAAATTTTTTTTAAATGTTTGTAGCTTAGGTGCTGGTTTTGCTGTATTGGCATCCTAAATGAGTACATTTGCCTTTGAATTGAGGTGTTACGGATTTTCAGCAGGATAGTTTTGTCTTGAATGACAGATCTGTTGGAACCAGTTCGCAGTATTCTGTGGACTGTAGTTCTGCGTAAGATATTGTAAGGCAATTCTCCAGCCTAGACCCAGAAAGCAGTATTGGAGTGAAAATCCTCCAATGTATATAAATTGGTGTTCTGAGAGGAAAAGGAACTGTTCACACATTTTAAAATGCTGTTTCCTTTAAGTATGAAGAAAAATGTCTAGCAACAGGTTCTATAAAGCAAAATCTTTCGTATTTAACTGTTGATTAGCTGTTCATTGATGAGTCTGGGAGCTTTTGCACAGCATTTTACAATACAGGTATGCATTTCATAATGTCCATAGTATACTCTAAGACATGTAATATTAGGCAATTTGGATGTTGTGTGAGTACCATACTATATACAGGCAGTCCTTGTATAATCACCAGTTAAATCCCATAAACCAATTATATTAAAACCTTAAGGGAGCCTTCTGGACAAATCTGGAGAACTGGAGGCAGAGGCTGGCTTGGCTGAGTGCATAGACTTTGCACACATCCAAGCTCAAGGGCAGTGATGCAGAGAGATGGCCATGGGGATTGGATACACAGGGGCCAGGGCTGAGGCTAGCTATAGTGGTCCTGGCTGCCACCACCTGTTGAATTGAGAGTCTTCATAGCTACTGGGCAGGTGAATGAAGTCTACAGGGGAAGGAGGTGTGTGGAGATTGGGATGCATCCTGAAGCTCCACTGCTTG